ATCTCGATGTAATACTGGTCCTGAAAGCATAGCTCCTAGCTGTGAGAACTTACTCATCTCGTCAGCGTTCCACCAAGTCGCCACTGCGAGATTATGGTCCACTGTGGCTCCGCGTCTGTCCACAGCCCCGAACATGCCTCGGAAGATTTCGGCGAGGACCAGTGGAAACAGTATCGGGTCAACACTTTTGGTGATGTCGTTGAGGAAGGCAATGTTGGCGTGAGGAATGAAAAGCACGTTCCGACCGAAGAAGTACTCGTGCCCTGGCAAAAGGGCTGTGTGGTCGTATCTGGCGTCCAAGTCGTCCTTGGGAGGCTTAGTCTCCCAGTAGGTATTCATAGTACTCGCTTGCAGTTCCCTGAAACTCCGAAGCAGGTGACTTGGGTCAAGCTGGTGACGCGTTGAAGTTGTAATAACTGGCGATGGTGTTGATGTCGTCCGTGCTGCCAAGGATCACCAAGCGCATGTTTTCGATCTTGTCAACACCTATGCCAATCGCGGAGCGATCTAGCCAGGAAGAGGATGAGAGAAGCCGATCTGTCATGCTGCTTTTTAACTGCACTTCGAGTGCCGACAGGCTGTAATCAGTAGTGCTTCAAAAGAAGCGTTGAGTTGGTCTTGCTGAAGGTCATCCGGCCGAAGAAACGCATGCCATGCTTGTAGAGTCGTTCTAGCAAGTGCATGCAAGCCTGACGTCCGATCTGGCACAAATTCCAGGTAGTCGTCGTGACTCAAGGGCAGCAGAGGACTGGCAGCCCTGGCGAGCAGCGGAGACAGGTGAACCACGAGGCGGTAGCCAACGTAGTTCAGTAGGGTAACTGTGTCTGTTTCGTTGATAACAGAGGCAAGCTTACTGATGTACTCATTGTTCATAATAGCCAATGGCTTGTCTTTCTCAAGTGTCTCTAAATCCTGAAACAGGATGGCGAAGTAATCCTTCCAGTTCCATTTCCCTGCACGGTCGAGTTGTTCCACGCGTTTGGTTCGGTCCTGGAACTCTGTGAAGTGCGGAGCACCCATGATGCTATGTAGTCCCTTCTCTAAACGGGCAATAGACTCTGCCTCTTCAGTTACGTCTTGCTTTTGGTGGAAGAGAGACAATGCAACAGCCACCTTGAGAGTGAAGTTCTCCGGTGATTCACCAAGGTGCGCTAGGTTGTATCTCTTCAGCGTCAAGCTCGGCGCATCGATGTGGACGGTGTAGCCTCGGTCGTCTTCGAAAGGCTTCCGGAGGAACACCCTGGCAAACGGGAAGACACCGAGGTCTCGGTCCAGAAAGGCAGTGACGGTAACGATGTTAGCACCGCGGGGAGTCCTTTTTGTACGGCCAGCTACCGAGGTTGTACTCTGCTAGCAGGCTTCGGAGGGACGTGAAGTTCTTGTCGTTCTTGTCTTCGGACTCGCACTTAGGGAGCAGCGAGATGGCCTGGTGCAGAAATACGCCCGGGTATTTGTGGTAGCGCCCTTCGTTTTCCTTGAGGTAGTCTCGAAAGAATCTTTCGATGTCTGCCATCATCATGCCAGCGGCGCGTTCTCTGTATGCCCTCGCCTGCACCTCCAAGTCTACCGCCGCCCAGTGACGTGAGCACACGTGCGCGTAGAAGTCTGTGCACGGGTTGACAGTAGAGTTTAGGCGGCCGCGCAGGTAGCTTTCGGCCCACATGCACACGTCGCTACTGCACGTGGACTGAGAAACGAGGAGTTTTCTTTCGTGCTTCACCAGATATGTTGGATCTGCTCCGGACAGAACGTTATCAACGCCACGCAGCTCGCCCGCCGAACCATTCCCTCCACGCCGGAACAGCTCCATCGAGCTGTTAAAGAGGGCCATGATTGCGTCACCCGCGTGTAGTTTGTAGGTGGTGACGGCGACGCCGACGGCGACCATGAGGAGGCCCACGCTGCACACAGCCAAGTACGGCAGGCGGCTGGGCGTGTGGGCCACCAGGATCTGCGCCCGCGACCGTGTCTGGACAGTCGTGCACCTGAGATCCTGCGAAGGCGATCCCTCTTCTGGCCGCGCAGAGTACGGGCCGTCGCGCTCGTCCGGAGCTATGTCGGCCAAGTGGGACATCGCAGGCAGCTCGTCTGACCGATCGCGGGAAAGGCGTCTTCTTCTGTGGCGCGTGCTGCTGCTCGCGCACGATAACGTGATTGCTGTCGATGATTACAATGCTGCAGTTCTTCATCTCGAAGGTGACTCTGACCCGCTGGCGCATTCACGGTTTCGACAGTGAACACACTATGCGACAAGCTACCGAGAATGTTGGCCAATTTATTTAGGAGTGTGTACAGTTCCCAACAAGGCTTTTACATCTATTTAATGGTTAAACAACGGAGAGGTGTTGCTACACATTCTAAGACTAACAATAATATGAACTTTCGCACACTGCTAGGAATGACATTCTGACCCTATTCAGACACCCCTTCAATTTTCCAAGCGGGGCGCCACGCCTGCTCTATGCTTTTTCCCAGTCGGAACAGTTTTTATGTTTTAAAGAACATGGTTATAGGCACACAAATTTTTCGTGATGATGATGACGACAGAGGGTGATTCCCTCTTAATTAATCATCATAATAACATCAGCATGACTACGCCAACTGCATGACAAAGGCCTCTACCATGTTCCGCCCAGTCGACTAGGTCTTGTGCTTGCTGCTGCCACTTTACACACGCAAACTTCCTAATGTCATATGCCAACCTAACTTTCTGTCTTCCCCTAACCCGCTTGCCTTCTCTGGGAATCTAGTCAGTTACCCTTATTGACCAGCGTTTATCTTGCAATAGGGCTACATGCTCTGCCCATGAACACTTCTTCTTGATTTCGACTATGATGTCATTAACACCCGTTTGTTGCCTGATAAACTCTGCTAACTTCTTGTCTTTTAGGGTTAAACCTATAACTTTTCTTTCCATTGCTCGCGGCGTTGTCCTCAAATTAAGTTAAATGTCCTTTGTAATCCTCCAGGTTTCTGCTCCGTAGGTAAGTACCATTAAGAAGCAGCTGTTATGTACCTTCCTCTTGAGGTATAGTGGCCCTCTACCATACATGATTTGATAATGCATTCCGAACGTGCTCCAGCCCATATTTATTATTCTAGTCACTTCAATCTCGTGGTTCGTTTCCATGGTTACTACTCGTCCTAAGTAGACGCACTCTTTTGCAACTTCAGGTGCACTGCTACCTATCTCCAAGCGCTGTTCTATTCCGAGCTTGTGGTACATTGCTTTCGTTTTCTGCACATTATTTTGGACCTACTTTCCTTCTCTCCTTGTTTTTATTGCAGTAAACATGAATTGCAATTTGTCCCCTGAGTTACCCAGCAATGCAATGTAATCGGCGAGGCGCAGGTTACTAAGGTATTCTTCATTACCTCATACTCCTATCTCTTCCCATTATAGACCTCGAAAACCTCCATAAGCACGCGGTAAATAGAATTGGGGAGATCGTATACTCTTGTCTTACCGTTCTCTACTGGTATTTTGTCGCTTTATTTATAGATTACTGTGGCGGAAGTTGATATGCTGTAGATATCTTGCAGGATGTTTACATATGCTTCGTCGACGCCCCGATTCTGCAGTGTCTGCATTCATGCTGATATCTCTACTGAATAAAATTCCTTATCGTAAACTATGAAAGCTATGTATAGCGTTTTGGTGTATTATGAGCATTTCTCTATCACCTGAATGATAGTAGAATGTGGTTGATTGTTGAGTAGCCTTTAAGAAAGGCTACTTGATTTTGTGGTTGACTGAATTCTAAAGCTGTCTTAACTCTTCGTAAATAGCTTGTGTACGATTGAGAGCAAGCTGATCGGCCTGTAATTCTTCCAAGTCCTTGTCCCCTTTCTTATGGATTAAGATAATCTTAATCTCTTTGAACTGGACAGCCACAAATTATGTGACCTAGCCAATGGGAAACATTAAGGACTAGGACAATTTAAATGGGTGCAGTTGAACACGTGCCGATGAAACAAGAGAGAGAGAGAGAGAGAGCAAGTGGGCGGTATTAACGACGGAATAGTTGGATTACAAAAAAAAACTATTTACTTACCTTATTCACCTTCCAAAAGTCGGGGAACAAATGCAGGCCGTTGTGACAGGCACGTCACTGTTTTGTTTTCGTTTTTTTGCATCATTTCTAAAGCTTGTTTCCCGTAGAAATCGACCAATAGAGAGAAGAGAGAAAGGGGGGATGGAAGTTGCTGTTAAGCACGACTCTCAGCTAACCGGGAGACCCTGCACACATTTTGCGCATTTACCTCCCTCTCCTTCCTCCTTCAATCCTCCTCCTCATTTTGCGTTAAGAGCTAAGTGGAGATATTTTGTTCGGAGGGGGGGAGGAACCTTGATTTTGAGAGGGGGCCGGGCAGGCAGATGTTGAGAGTCACTGAGTGCTCAATATGTCGTGGGAAAATAAGTAGGTAGGGGAAGGCTTATGTGCCCGCCACTGGCAGGCGGCCGCTAGAATGGACGGATAGCATGCCACACTGCGCCGACTACACCCAAAGAAGCCACCTCTGGACACGGTATCGTGAACCAGGCGCTACCAGATGTTTGCAACTGATGATGTTGTAAATTTGATTTTATGAGGTTCTAATAGGAAACAGAATTGATCAGTCAGTGATACGTCACAAACAAGCACCGACATGCCATGCATTCCCGAACACGTTCATTCGCGCGACAGAGTTAACGCGACCAATAGAGAAGAGGGAAGGGCTACCTACAACAACTTAATCTTAACCCTAATCCCAAGAGGGAAAGGGGTAGGGAAGTTGCAGGGAAGCATGATTGTAACATAACCGGAAGACTCTGTACACATAGCTTGTGCATTTTATTTCCCGTTAAGAGCGAAAGGGAGAACTTTGTTAGGGGGGTAAAAGTAATCAATAAACTTGCTGACACCTCGTTGTGGGTAAGTGCCAAATTTTAGGACTCGCCTCACCATCGTCATCGCCGTTGTAGTTCATCACCATCATCATCATCGGTTTGTTCGCAGCTCCACGGGACCTGTTTCGTGAACCTTTACCGGGGGCTCCGTGCCGAGTTGTCGCGACAAGGACCCCACCAACAGCAGCCGCACCAAGAGGTACGTCGGGCGTGGGGCGCGTCGAGCCCCTGCAAATTGATTAACGAGATGTAGCGTTAAGAAGCTTGAATGGCAGAAATTCTGGTGCTGGTGTCAGTGGCTTAGGTGGCGGTGGCTTTGGTTGTGAGCGAAGAAGCAGCGTTGGCCGCGAGCGTAGAAAGGAGGTAGATGCTAATAAGGAGATTTCAGCGTTCCTTGCGGCATGGTCCAAGTCTCCACTGAGATGCGAAAGCAGCATATAGAGGCTGGAAAGGCGATACCCGATCTGGCACACAAAACAGCGTTGCCTAGAAATTGGTGGATGCTTGAGCTTCGCTTCTAAGAGTTGAACGTGATAGCGATAGAGATATCCTGTATCTGTTGTGTTCTTGAACCACTTGCTGCATACTATTTATTCTATGATAATTGAAACATTGAAAAGCGGATTACTACAAAGTAATAGATAAACTTGAAAGCGGCTTGTGTTAGGAAAGCTTTCGGATATGGCAGAATGTTGTGTAATGGGTAGCATGCTTTAAACTACAAGCAATTATGCGCGTGAAATGTTTCGAACTTGGTATGCACCTACATACGTGGTTTCACGGGAATACTCGGAGTAACGTGCGTGCCTTTTGTAATGAGGGGGCTATAGCGTTGAACCTTGAGATAGTTATGGTAATCCCCTCTTTGACGCTCGATGGGAATGTACGCTTGTGCTACACAAAATTACTGTGATATTACACGTTGTATTGTGAAGTCTTGGCATGGTACGCGTGTGTTTGTCAGGCATGCGTGAATGTTCTTTTCAGAGTATATTTAAGCGAACGCGTAGCCTGCGTCGCAGAACGCCGGCTTGTCACGCGAATGACCCTGAGGCGATCTTCACTTCGGATCAGGAAATTTTCATATTTATTTCATTTGCATCTGTCTTGATTTTTCGGTCAGAGTCAACATGATTTCTCGCGTATATACAAAGACGCCAATGCCGACGTCGACACCGCGAAAGAGCTCTTTGTCGCTATCGCGTTACAAGTGCTGTTGAATAGAATTTAAGGCAGGATCGGGGCTGACTATGCGCTGTTTAAGGACAATACCGACGAAGAAGATGCAGAGGTGAACAGAAGTGGACGAAACAAAGTGCATTGTCCAGAAGTGGTCGACTTTGTCTTGTACACTTCTGATTGATATGTAGGGTTTGACGCCCCAAAACCACCATATGATTATGAGAGACGTCGTAGTGGAGGACTCCGAAAATTTCGACAACCTGGGGTTGTTTAACGTGCACCCAAATATGAGCACACAAGCCTACAGCATTTTCGCCTGCATCGAAAATGCAGCCGCCGCAACCTGGGATTCGATCCCGCGACCTGCGGGTCAGCAGCCGAGTACCTTAGCCACTAGACCACCGCGGCGGGGCTCCTGTACACTTCTGAGGGTGGACATGGGTAGAGAGGTTTGACAAGCAGCCCCTATCGACAAAAGAAGTCCATAACAATGTAAGATCATACGCATCCCTACGGGAAAAAAGATTTTCACAATGGATCATAAGGCGTTAGGAACTATCCGCGTCAACTGAAACGTGAACAGCGGCAAGACGTCGCTATGGTGTAGTGCGCGCCATCCACTCATCACCATATACAGACACACACACATGAGCAGAATTGCCGAACCGGATGCGCGCGCCCGCCATTCAGGATAACTGGGCGGGGCGCACTAAACCATCGCAAAAGCTTGCTGCTGTTCGGGTTTCATTTGACGTGGACGGTACGTATGATGGCCCGTTTGAAAACGTGAGGATTTTTATTGGTGATGTAGCACAAGGAAGGCACATTCACGAACACACAAAGGAATACACGGAAGCCACGTGGACTGCAGCTACAGCTTCATTGTTAAAGTACGCTTCTTACATATACTATGAACGCAGCCATTAGTTCAGCCACCAAGTATAAGCGCAGCCACCAGTTCAAGATGCCTGGGCGCCCAGCAAGTGCTTAAACATTGGCCGGGTGGATGAATCGTGTCACAGACAGACAGGCAGAGGGACAAACAGACAGACCGAAATTTCTGCTTTCAAGTGTCCTAAGAGAGCATCGTCTTTAAAAACACATGTTTCATGGCGCACACATTCTCTGTGCCACAGGAATATCTAATCATGCGTGGTATCATTCACATCAAGGCTGAGAAGCTAACCGCGTCTCAGCCTTGGGTGCATTTTGCACCGCGATACAGTCGAAAGGGGTCGACAGCTGGCCAGGAAATGTTATGGACGCCGGTGGAAGTGAAACGACCATGAATTATTTTGACAAATTCGGCAATTATTTTTGTGAATGAGACAATACGTTAAATTTCCGTATCGAAGTCATGCACAATACAGAACAGATAAATACCTCGGTTATTCAATATGGCGTCATCCCGTTTTCTGTACCCTAATAGATGGTAAACATACTTGACAGTTCTGTTTGGGTTAAAATCATGCGAATAAATAAAAAAAAAACTCCAGCAACTATTAGACCAAATCAGGCCCGAAACATCGAACCAGTACTTAGTTTTTAATGTTAACATTAAAAACTGCGCGCTAAAAGTGGCCGGATAGTTTGTTTTATTCGTACTCGCCTAATATACGCACACTATCATTAGGGCTCTAAATTATAGTATACGCATATTATTATCCGTCACTGGTTCATTCTGTGCTTCAAGGGCTTGCATGCACAGAAGCGGCGCTGCCATCGTGGCGATTCGTGCGGCATCGCGAGTGAAACTTCTGCGCATGCGCATGGAGTTCAGGCACGGCCACGAGCAGCTCTTGCACTCCCGTAGGCACGGTCTGGCGTGCTTTGGCGCGTTAATAATACGTGGAGTTTCACGTCCGAATACATAGATAAGACAACGAGGCACGCCATAGTGAAGGGCCCCGCGAATTTCGGCCAGTCTGGTGTTCCTTAACGAGTACTGACATCGCACAGTACCCGGGCCTCTGGAACTTCGCCTTCTTAGAAATGTGACCGCCACGGCCGGGATCGAACCCGTGACCTTCGGGTTAGTAGCCGAGCAATATGACCACTAAACCACCGATGGACTGCAGCATGTATTGTTCGTAGGACTTCGCAGTCACTGCAAACGAAACATTTATACTTACGAATATGTTACGCTATTCTCGCACTGCCATTTCGCGATCAGACATTGTGAACGATCAACTTTTCGTGGTGCTATAGAAAAAAGGTACCACCAAGAGTCGTTGTCAGTCCTGTTTTTGTTGTGAGATATACCAGTCTGTGTTCACGTAAAAAAAATTGTGAAACAAACGATGCCAAGTGCCTTTTTTTAAAAAAAAGGGAAAAAGAAACTTCTAATCTGGTTCATATTTTCACTTTGGACCATTGAACTTACTTCAGAACAATGCAGAGCGCCGAGTGAGTTTCAAGCGACACTGTTTGTGTTGGCTGTACACTGTCGTTCTTTATGAACGGGAACACGCGAACGCGTGGCCCGAGTTCTGCGGCGGCTGCTGCTTACAGCACCATCAACCGACAAGTGAAGAAATCACGTTCGCTTTTGGCGCCATCTATCGCCAAGCAAGATAACGAGCCATGGCCGGTAGGCAAACGCTGCTAGATTACGTTCCCTCACCGCTCGCAAGGCGAGCGATATCGGGCGATTACTGCAGCTTGTGCCGTGGTCGCGCGCAACGTTTGATATGTTGGCAGTGGACTACGCACTGCAGGCCGGAGCAGAGAGGAAGTGCAATATAGCAGCCCTTGTCTATCAGCCATAACTCGTTACTTTTCTGTTTTTATTTTGGCAACAGATGTCGCTGAAAGCGAACGTGTTTTCTTTTTCCGTCGGTTGATGGTGCTGTAGGCACCCGCCGCAGAGCGCGGGACACGCGTTCGCCTGTTCCCTTTCATAAAGGACGACAATGTACATTTTCGTACGTATCAATCAATTTTTGACGGTATTCCCGGAGACGTCACCTTGGTTTATCGCCTCACTTGCTACCCCAGGTGTCGCGTAAACTCGGCCAGCGTGCCTTGGTGCTCTCCATCGCTCGACCACAACCATTTGAGCAGGCGCAGCAACGAATCTTCATGCCAGTCGAACGCGTACACAAACACGGACGCACATTGCGGGCATCTCGCAGCACACCTATACTACGTACTCGCGAGATAAAACACGGGAGTTAAAGGAGCCGCCGGTAGCGCTTCTCCTGTGGCGAAGCGTATCCGGCGATAGCGCTTATCGGGGAGCCCGATCACTTTGCTCTTTCCGACAGGATCGACCAAAGAAAGCACCTAAAGGAACACCTTCGTCTTGGAACACGGAACGACGAGTACGAAGACGCCCCGGAGCTGAAATCGAAAATGTGGTGTGAACATAGGCGGGATTGACGACTCCGAGAGGAAAAAACATCACGCTTCGTTTGGGCCACCGTCTTGCCAGGTCACCATGGAGTCCTTCTGCGGATCTGCGTTTTGGGTAAGTGGTCTATGACGAGTAGTATAAAGGTAAGTGGTCTATAGTGTTCAAATCACAGCCGGGTACCCAGTTGTGGGTACTCGTGAGCCATTTGTTGTCCTGCGTGGTATGTATATTGTCGCTCTCACACAAACACTTTACTCTGACTTTACTGTGAACGAGACTACAATGTGGTAGCCGAAACGTGAATTTTTACTGTTTCAGTGAAACCGTTTGATTTTGGTTGGTGCTCTGTCACTTCGCTTGTAGTTCGTGCTTCTTCCCGACCAGACTGTGCTTCGTCATACCGTCGACATCATTTGAAGAACCACGAGATGCTGTCGCTCTTGACGGTAGTATGGTGTTCTGTTGTAGTATCTTCTCTCGTGTCCTGCTACTGTGGCGCAAATTCGCCATTGTCGCCATAGACGTGCGTAGGACTCCCCTTCACAAAGGGGGAGGGGGGTGGAGTTCGTCACAATGCCCCTATCCCTCCCTATTATTTCTATATGGGGCTGAGTTAGCACCTCCACCCAATATTATTTTTTGAATAGGGGGAGGGGGGGTCAGCCCCTTCCTGTCCTCGCCTGTGCGCACACTTGTTGTCGTCACCCAGACGGAGGCGCTATAAGAAAAAAAAAGAAAAGGGCGTCCTTTGACTTTTTGCTGCACATGTGACTCTGTTATGTATAACTCTCCTGAGAGAGGCCCACCGAGTTTCTTTAGGATAGTCATGACGTGTATGACTCTCTTTAAAGAGTCACTTTGACTCTGATTAGGAGAGTCGTGGGACGCGTGACATTCCAAAAAAGAGTCAGTGCGACCCCCTAAAGGGAATTTCACATGGGACTTCTACGCTCTAAAAAAATATCGAGTAGAAAGGGTGTCTTTTTGTCCCACAACAATTATCGTCATCAGGCTTGCGTGCGCTTCCTTTCTTGAATACTCGGCACTGGCCACTTTCCTATCGAAAATGCAATGTAACCCTGATAATGGGCATGTCGATCGTGACCGGAATGTACCTGGCGCGGGGCAACAGCGCAAGGTTGGAACGCAATATAGATGACGATTATTGTTGTGGGACAAAAAGACACCCTTTTTACTCGCTCTTTTTTTAGAGTGTAGTCACATGTGTAGGAGAGAAGAGTCAAATGACGTTATTTTTTTTATAGTGTAGCTATTCTAGGGACCATAGAGAAGCTACACTAGCGCAAGGTAGTCGGGTGCAAGCTGGAAGGTAAACACATGAGCACACAGCGATCTACCGAAGAAAAAATAACAGGTGTAAGCTTAAAGGATAAGGAGGGCGCAGTGTGGGTCTACGTACAAGCGGACATTATATCCATCTTTGTGGAAGTCAAGAAGAAGACATGGGCATAGGCAGTGTAAGTAACGAGAAGGCGAAATAACCGTGAGCTATTAAGCTTAATGGACTGGATTCCAAGAGAAGGAAAGAGTGTTGTGGTGAGGCAGTAATTTAGGTAGGCAGATGACAATTAACCGTTTCAGGCGCCAATTATCATGCACTGTGTACGAATGTGTAAAATTCACATTGTACTTGGGCACTCAACATCACGTATCACGTTCCAATAAAAAGTGAGGCAATTTATTGTTTAGTGCGAGTTTCGGTCGCTAACCGTAATTGAAGTTTAATTATTCTTTAATTAATGTTTAATCAGTCATGCTCCGATTTGACATAAATTACGAAGCTCTGGGTAATAGCATGGCCGCTAGAAGCACAGGACTGAGATTATGGGAGAAGCAGGTTGGTGATTATGATGAGTTCGGGGACCGTATCCACATGCTTGTTGTGGCATGTGGATACGGACCGTTCATGGTCAATAGACCATGAACGGTCTATTGACCGCCGAAGCAGCAATTTTATTAGCTGCTCTACAGTAATTATCTCATGTGTTGTTTGCGAATGCCGGAGTGGCAGAAATCCGCGATCCCCAGACATATCCTCGTGTTCGCAGCTACTATCATTGCACTGCAGAAAAAACATTCAAAAGAAAAGGGTCCCCTTCTCTTTAGGATTGTTGTGGAACCTAACGTCTTTCTCACGGGCAGAAAAAGCACACTGAGGCGCAGAGTAGTACTTGACCATTGCGCAGCACTCGATCACCATCGGGACGTGTGGCGGGTTCACAGGTCCACGTGTTTGCAGGAGCAGAGTCGCCACGGTGATGCGGCCTCCATTGACGGCATCGGCTGCGCACATTCAACAACGTGCCTGCGTCGTACACCGCCGCGCCGTCGATGAGACATCACGACGTTTCGCTAGCTGTATCTACATGCTTGTAGATGATGGAGAAAGGCTGGCTTATTTATGTTGCGAAACACCCGAAGTAATTAGTATCACACAGAGGAAACTGCAGATGACGAGCAATAACACTTACATATAGTTTCACTTTCTTGCCAGCAATACTGTAGATCACTTTTTGTCGCTATAGCAGTGGCACCGTCATCTAGGGAAAAGGTACTGCTAGTCCGATGCCGTGAAAATCGCCGAACAGCAATCTGCTCGTCTTTTGTTTTTCACTTAGACCTTCGGAGATCACCCTTTAATCTTAAGGGTTGTGTAAGCCCCCTTTTTGTTTGTTTCGCCTGTGCTAAGTTAGGCATGTGGTTACTGGACGACGGTTTTTGGTGCGTGCCATGGCACTGCCATTTCTGCATTTGTGAATCCACTCGCATAGATCATGCAAAGAAAAGTAAGTTCAAGCAAGAGGCTAACACAAACACTTATCTTTATTCCCATTCCAGTGTACTTGCCGAGTTTCGTCTCGGTGATTAGGCTGTGGAGATACTTAGTTTTCTGCTTACAATTCTTAGTCTTCTACATGATAGGACCCTATTTGCATTCATCTCCTTCATCGGTGTGCTCTGCTTTTTCTCCCTTCTGTGTTTTGCTTGATTTTGCGTCGACTTGCTTATTAACACTGCTTGGTCTTGCATTGACTTTCTGACTCGCATCACTTTGCCTTGTTCGGCTTGAGCAGACTGCTGACGCCGCCTCGATTCACCAATCACAGTGCTACGGATGCCATGATAAATAGCCAAAGGCACGCCTATTGGCTTCTGATAACTAAGGTGCTGCTTTGCAAAGACCAAGTAAATGCACGTGCCCCATATAGTAATAGGATACTAACCCTACCACTTCGAGAAGCCTCTTGACATGGACTTCACTAACGTCTCTACCAACCACAGTTCCCGCATGTTGCCGTTACTTGTGCCTGCGTCCACAATCGGAGGAACGTTCTTGTAGCCTTCGCTGCGGCTCAAGTCGGCAAGCTTGTTCCTCCCTTTACCCAGCAAAGACAAAAGTGTGTGTGTTGTGTGTGTGTGTGTGTGTGTGTGCGTGCGTGCGTGCGTGTGTGTGTGTGCGTGCGTGTGTGTGTGTGTGTGTGTGTGTGTGTGTGTGTGTGTGTGTGTGTGTGTGTGTGTGTGTGTGTGAAGGAACACTTATGCAGAAAGAGATTTGCACAGAAAAAAAGTCGAAAGGGAAACTTATGTGCAGGATAACGCAGAGAGCAGTACCTTGCTCTTAGAGGCCAGGAACTGTCGCACGAGGAGAAAGTGTTTATCGGAGACAAATCTTTGCAGAAGAATTGTACGAAGCAGCAAAAGTTGCGATATGACTCACGACGAGAAAATAGAACGCTAGTATATTCACCCTGCAATATCGCAAGAGAGCATCCCCTTCTCGAAGGTTCAGGGGTTAAAAGGCGGCACAAGTGTAACCTCTTCAACCAGCGAGATAAGCCAAATGCGCATACAGTAGCGGTTGAAAAATTGGACAAGGGGTTGATGGAACTTTAGCATTATATGATTATTATTTCCACTTCGAAAACGAACTGCTTTCGAAAGTTGATAATTAGCACCATATTGTAGCGAAACGTCGGGGTTGGTCAAATTAGGCGCATCGGACGACCAGGGAGACGAATAAGTGTGGGTGACACTCCGCGGAGGCCATCGATGAGAAGTCAACACGATGAATTCGGGGAGCACTCATTGGGGGTTTATTTAGCTAACACAACTTCAAGTTACAAAATGCACTGGGTCACAAAGACAAAACATAGAAAATGGTGACATACCCCTCAGCCTTGTGGGGGTGCTCACCCCCCCTGTAAAGTTGTCTGCGCCGCGTGGCGCACGTGTCTCGCCCCAGGGCGTTATTTCGGTGGTGACCACCACCGGGCGATAGGTGGCGTTGTGTTCGCTCTGAGTACCACTGTTGGTAGAGTGGCAGCGCCGGTGGTGGCCCCTGGCGGAAGGCGGGCCTTGGTGGTGGGCGAGCGTTGAGCGAGCCTGTTCTGCGCGTGGCGGCTGCCGCGAACGGTTGTCTGTAGCGCGGGTCCCCGGTGCTCGGCACCGCGGGCTTCGCGCCGGGGTCCCACGTGTAAAGTCAGGTGTTGGCGACGCCGCCTTGGGTATGTGCTAGTGTGTTGGGTGTGTTAGTGTGTGTTTATCATGTTATTGTGTGTTTAGTGTGTCCTGGCATTACGTTGTTTGTATGGTTTAGTGTTAATTGAAATTGTTGTATCATTCGGCGGACGATATCGTCGTCTAAATTGGTTAATAAATGTATGTATGTGGTGTGCTTTGTTCCGACCGTGTTTACTGTGTCCGTCACTCCAAGAGCGTGGCGTGGCGAGGCGCTCGTTCTTCTTCGCCGAGACCCCACACTGGCGCCCAACGTGGGGCTCTTGGAGTATCGGACGACAGTTCTTGCGGTTCGGTACAGGGATTTTGTTAGAGCCGGAGTAGAGTAGGCCTAGGGGGGACTTCTTTGCTAGCGTCGGTGGTGTGCTTGGTGAGAAGCGAGGGGATTGGTTTTGTAACGTGTTTCAATTTGTCGGCAGGTTGACTTTCTTTTTTTTTTTGCTCGCAAGTGTTCTTATTTTTTGTTGTTAGTTTTCAAAAACGTTGTTGAATTAGGACGAGAGCCATGCGGTCCGCATCCTGGGGTGAGCAAGGCCTAGAGCACGTGGTTTGTAGGCCAGGCCCGAAGCGAGTGA